GGGTATGGGACTGAAGAAAGGAGGTGGAGCTGTCAAACAAGACAGAAATAACCCAGCTGCTCTTCCGTGGCCTGCGAAAAATAAATCCTTCCCTTGTCCCACAAACCCCTGCCTGGGACAGGTGGGGATTTATGGAGGAAGACAGACAGACAGACCCCACAGAGGACACTGATACAGTCACTGCTCAGCTGCCAAGATCTGCATCACATGTAGTAAAAGGCCTAGGAAAGAGCCAATACAGACAATGTAATTGAAAAGCTATTTCACAACTTTAGTTGTCAGCAAAAAGTGTTTACATGCAGTTCCTGTCTACATATGCAAAAAGAAACTTCAATAAAGCTTTGACAAATGCCTGGGAACCTCGGGCACAGGCAGTCTGCAGGAAGGAATTAGCTAAAGCACCAGGATAGGAAAAGGGTGACCATGGCTTGGATCCAAGCTTAGTCACAGGCACCTTCCTTGGCTTGCAGCTTACACTGAACTGAGTTTGGCCCGAGACCCTGAAGAGCTGAGGAAATCAGGTCAAAGTTTATCAGATCCTAAATGTGAAAAGAAAAAAAAAAAAAAAAAAAAGAGAGAGAGAGAGAGAGAGAGATGGCCACAGCAAATATTTTGAATTTTGTGAATCTGTAGGAAATCTGCCTTTTTCTTCTTAAATAGAGGGAATACTATTAAATTCCTTTCCAGTCCCAGCTGTGCGGGGCAGCTAGGACAGCAGCTGTGTCTGCATGATCACACCACCACGTCCCAGGCTCACAGGAAGAGGGACGGCCCCTTGTACATGCTTGTACGTGAAGGCACACAGATCCTTTTTCACTCTTTCCTCCTTTCAGAACTATTCCAGGATGGAACAGATATCCATCCCCACCAGCACCACACAGAGACCTGCTACCAGGAGGAGAAAGACTGAAAGGTGCATTTTCCCTTCTTTATCAGGGAGCCCAGATCCTGGCCCAGCTTCTTCCATCCCCTCCCTCCCTCTCACAGACATGCATTTGCTCCCATTTCCCTCCCATTCCACTCCCCACTGGAAAAGCACTGATCTCCTTCTTTCCCAAAGGGGATCGCATAACATCCCCCTGGCAACAACACCAATTAAGTGTGAAGGAAAGTAATATTAGGAAAATGTTAATGGAGTTTGACTTCTTCTAATGCAATTTAAAGCTGGAAACAATGAAGCAAGGCTGAATGAAGCAAGCCGCCAGCTCCCTGCAAACCAGCAGCAAGGGCTCCCGGGAGCCCTGTTTTGGAGCCAATGTCGCAGGGATGAGTGGAGGAAGGAGGGCGACCGCCAGGCCTTCGGAAAAGATTACAGTGTGCACAGGAACCGCTCGTTGGCTTTCCAGACCGAGAGCAGCACTGGCTGGTGCCAAAGGGAGAAGCAATGAAAGGGATTTTCACAGACACAAAGAGGAAGGAGCCGGCAAAATGACATTCTGAGTCTAACCCTGAGGAAAGCATTTGCTGCAAAGAACAAAGGTATGTGCTGAGAGGCCAAAAGACCAGGAAGCCAAACTGGGAGTACTGAATGGGTCAATCACGTCCAAAACCTTAATGCTCCCACAGACTTTGGTAACATTATTTACAGAAACAGGAAACATCCTTAACTGACATAAGATCTCAACGAACATAAATGGAGCACATTTGGCTCTCCACAGTGACAAGAACACAGCTGGAATTCATATTCATAAAAAATGTCAGATCGGAAATACCCTTATAAATATTGCCACCATTAGCAGCAGGAGGTACAAATGGAAAGAGAGACAGTGCTCAAGGCTCAGTACCAGATAACACACCATGTCAGTCACTGATAATTAAAATACTAAGGGCATCTGGCCTTGCTCATGGAAAGCATGAGATCTCAGGTGAAACAAGATGGGCCTGGGGGAACTCAACTTTGGAAAGGGTTCTATTTTTGATGCTTTTTTTTTCAGGGTGTTATTAGAAGATCTTGAAGAGAATGTACTGAACAACAGGAAAAAAAATGTTTTGGTAAACCTTTTTTTTTTTTTTTCCAGTTTCTAGAGTCATCTGAAAATAGTCAGAAGTCATGGGCATGTGTTTTCTCAGATCTTCATTAGAAGAAAACTGCTCTGTAATGGCAGTGTACCTCTTCAGTCAGTAACTGAAGGCACTTGTAAAATCAGGCAATTTCCTCCTACAAGATTTTAATATCAGCCAGCTACCAAAAGGTCATAACCATAAGAACAGCTACACTCATAACTGCTGCAGCCCTGACAAAAGCAATGGATCATATACACCAGGCCATCCTTTTCTGTTGCAAGCTGTTGCAAGAGTAAAGGATGGAGTGATTTCCCATGAAACACCACTTCTTTCTGTGATAGATAGCCTGCATTTCTTAGCTGGGTCTTGTGTTTCCAATGCTGAGTTGAAACATCAGAAGTAAAACTGAAAACATAGTTGAAATACAGTCTTTGATTAATTTTGCTTTGCTTTTTTGATACGGGGGAGGGAGAGGAGATGAAGATATTGATTTCTACCCCAAACATGTAACTTGAGCACATGACAAGGCTAATCCCTGAGCTCTTACTGAGATGAAGTCAGATTTACAGCAGCATATTTTGAACAGGAAAAGCTGGGACAATTCTCCAAGTTCATCAATATGTTTTATTTAGAATTTTATTAGAAGCCACACTGACACAGGGGACATGTAACGTGGTGACAAGAAAGTCAGCTTTAAGAGGTGTTCCTAGCTACAAAAGCCACCTTTCTTTGCCTCCCTTGGAACTACATGGAAACTGTTGCACTGGGGCCAGCTTCAGGCAACCTGTCCTCTAAAACGACAGTAGGGGGAATGTTGTAGGGAAAATCTGTGCTGTTTTGCTGTTGAAGATTTTGCTCAACATTTCTCTGTTTTTTCAAGGATTCCAGTCTTCAGTTCACAATTTTCTGTAAATGCACAGGTAAGTGGTACTAATTTGCATGACCTTTTTGGACAGAGAATTCAGAGACAGAAATGCACTATATGCAAAGCCAGTATATGAATATGTAAATAAATAAGATTGGCATTAACATTGATACAGCTCAGGAACCACACCAAATGACAAAATTATTTATCCTTTTTTTTTTTTTAATTCCTTTTCAAAATCAATTCAAATCACATCTCTGTCATGATTTCAGGCCTGATGTAATTCGGTTCCACAAATTCTTTGCAGCAGGAACAACATTTTTTTGACATTCATAAATATTGCAAGCATGCAATGAACACTCATTTATCACACTGAAGTAGAACAAATGTATGATTGGAAGCAGGATGGGCTGTAATAACTTCTGAATATGTCCCACATTTTTACACTCTGTCTAGTCCATGTTTGTCAATTTACATTTGCTGTGATGGAACTGGAATTTATTAAGGTAAATCAGGAGCAAGATGGAGATTCATATTTCAGATTTTTGTGCTATTCTCCCACATGAAATCAGAATATAAGTGTCTCGTTGATGCTGATTATTCCCACCACTGCTTTCTGCAGCTTCCCTGATTTCCCATCCAGCTGAGAAAATATTTTCCTGTGAAACATCTGGTTAAGGAATGCTGGGAGTTCTGAAATGGCTGGTGCATCCTATGAAGTAGATGGCTTTGAAGAAAAGTTACATAGCTTTAAACAATTCCAATAGACTGAAAAATATTTGACAAAAACTCACCAGAGACTACCAAAGACCCTGTAGTTGTTGTCATAGATTTCTGTGAGTATGTTGCCCTAGCACATACAGACATAACTAAGACTGTGTAGATGGGCATAAAAGCACAACCCCAGCAGAAAACCTGTGAGGGGGTGCACAGGAGGGCAAAGAAGGAGCTGTAAAAACGGAGTAGGAGAAAAACAAAAGAAAATAAAATCTGTTTTGTACAGCTTGCAGTTTTTCTTCCATGAATATTCCTCAGAGAAGGTGAGAGTCTACTCAACTCTACTGCATTTACCCCAGGAAGAATATAAAGACAGAGATGCAGAAAGAAATGATCTCGTTGCCACCTTTGTGATTAATTAAAATAAATAATAAGTGAAAACAGTAAGTCCTGAACTTATTTCTTTCATGACAGAAAGAAATTAAATTAAAGAAAGAAATTTATTTGGCCAAAGTTTGGTCCAGAAGTCAGCCCAGCACTTGCCCAACATAGCACTGTCAGCAAGGGACACAACTGCCTACTGAACTTCAGGCACTTTATCAGACTCTGTTGGTCCTGTGCAGTTAGTTAGGCCTGGCTGAATAGCAGCATTTCTTCTTTTCTGAACTCAAGATTGTCTTCCAGGTCACTTATTATTTTTCTGTCTTTGTTCCAAAATGGATCCCACTAATAAGAAAAAACAGTCACTGCAGCAACTGATCACAAGTAGAAGCAGTTGTGGTACAGTGCTTCTACAGGTCACAAATAAAGTCCAAAGCCAATGAAGAAAGTCAAGACAGAATTCATGAGAGATCAGTTTAATAAGAAAAGGGGTTAAAAAGCAGATGATATCTCGGGGGAAAAAATATTACCGGCATAAATTATGTCACTGTGGGAGAAAGACGTAAAGCGTTGCAAAGAATTAATTTGGTTAAGTGAGGAATTCTCCATATATATTATACAACAAAGTATGAAGGCAGTGGAAATAGGGTCAGATTATTGAAGAAAAGCTTAAAATTAAAACGTGTCAAGACAAGAGTAACAGGTAGAGACATGTGAAATGTTTTATTTATGTTCAAGTTTATGAATATGTTCACAGATAAGAGGAAGAGCAAAGAAAAGATTTAACACTAAGCAGGTGAGATGAAAAGTCATTGAGACATATCTCTAAGAAAATATAAAAATCAGCTGCAATCAGAGAGTATAATTAGCCCTAGCAACAGACAAGCAACGCATTCACCTTCAGTAGGGAAAGAATAGGTTAAAAAGTACTTCAAGAAGTCAGATATTTTAAAATTGACAAATCTTGACATAATGTCATCACAGAGAATTTTAAAGAGCTGGTTGATTAACTCACCAATCCATTAACAGTTACCTTTGACAAATCATGGAAAAATGTGAGATGTCTGAAACCAAGTAGAGGGCAGACATGGCTTCTATCTTCAAGTAAGGAAGAAAAAAAAAAAAAAAAAGAGAGAGAGCGAGAGAGAGAGAGTGAGAGAGAGTGAGAGAGAGGAGAGAGAGATCAAGGAAATGCAGACGTATCAACTTAGTTCCACTTTCTGGAAAAATACTGGAACAACTAAATTAATACATGATTACAAGCATGTAAGTGGAAACAAAGTGTTGAATAACAACCCATATGGAATCATCAGGAGCAAATTCTGTCAGGCCAATTTCATTTATTTTTCTGACGTGGCAACAGGTCTGGCAAAGAAGGGTAAACAATAGACATCACATCCCTGATATTAGTTCATATTTTGACTATTTTGCACATTTTCCTAAGCAAACTAGGGAAATACAGATGGAAGGATGCATTCTGACAGTACTTTTATGCACTGAAGATACAAAAATGCAGCCAGCCATTGACATGATGATACCAGCAGTTCAATGGACCAGTGGTTCAATCTCATCTATAAAGGTGACTAAAAGTGTCTCCCCAGGGAAGGAGAGAAGAAGAAGCAAAAAATAGAGCAGTGCTTTCTCAGAACACTCTCCTGGATTCAAACAGCTTTTGGCTCAGGGTCTGTCTGAGCACAGGTTGATCTCTTTACGCTCTTTCCTTATAAATTGTTTAGTTGCTTTTTTGAACCAGCATATTTTTCTGGCATCCAAAACATCCTGTGGCAAGAAGTAAAAACATCTTAAATTTGCATTATGAGATGAACCTTGTCCAGTTGTTTTGAATCTGACTCTTGTTATATAATTTGACTTCCCCTAGATCATCTGTGAAAAGGAGAAAAAATAAGTCTTTCCCTTTTCCCCTGATCTATGATATAGTTATATGACAGACCTCTAGTATAAGTCCACTTACCCTGAAGCTTCTTAATTGTATTAGCTGATTTCCATGCAGAAGCTGCTTTTGATCAACCTCTTTCAAAATTCTCTATCGACTGGTGATGTACCTTCACTGGGATGGGAGATGAAATCTTCTTTCTGTGCTTAGAAGTAGTATCAGAGCATGTGCTGCTGTGAGGAAAAGGATTTGTGTCATTGTTAATCAGAAACTGAAAATGGCCTGCTATTGAAAAAAAAAAAAAAAAAAGCCAAACCAATATGTACAATAACGTATAAAGAGATGTAGTCTATAAAGCACCTGAAGTCATCTGTCCTTTCTACCCCATCCTGGTCAAGACATATCAGCAGTATTCCACACAGCATTGGTCAGTGATGTCAGTGATGGAGGAAAACAAGGAAAAAATATCACAGAATCACAGAATCGTCTAGGTTGGAAGAGATCTCCAAGATCGCCTAGTCCAACCTCTGACCTAACACTAACCAGTCCTCCACTAAACTGTATCACTAAGCTCTACATCTAAACATCTTTTAAAGACCTCCAGGGATGGTGACTCCACCACTTCCCTGGGCAGCCCATTCCAATGCCTAAATATATGAACCAATTGGGCAAGATTGAGAATAGTTCAGTAAGAATGATTAGGATTTACTTGAGTAAATAAGCTGGGAGGAAACACCAAAAAAACTGGAGCTGGTTATACTACAACATATAATCCAGTAGGCAGACAAGACAAAAGTCTTCAAATATATGTTGGAACAACAAGTATTCAGGTCCATTTGTGTGGGAGGTAAGACAAGAGGAAACCACCTTGCCTCATGGAAAGGAGGAGCCCCTCAAGACTCTAAGAAAAGCTGGCGGGTGAAAAGGAGAAGGTGCCTGGAGGGGCCGAGGGACTCCATGAATAAAAGCCATAAGGAAAAATCAGATTTAATCAGATGGGAAGAAGAAAAGCGCACTTGATCCTTCCTGGGATAAGTGGATGAAGAAGGCAACATATCCAAATTCCTCCCATTTCTGGAGTTTTGTAAAGCACTGCAAAGTAGGGAATAAGAGGACAGACATTGCTCAAAAGTCCTCTTCTGTAAAGAATTGCTAAATTACCATATGAAAAATTTGTATTTTTTGCATATGCTCTATTTAGCATACAGATCGAGGTTTTGTTTACAGTTCACTAAAAATCACTGAAAAACTCGCTGACCTAACCGGACACTTCCCATATTCTAGACAGCAATATCAAATATAATCTTACAAAATAAGCATTATTGCTCCACTTACCTTTTTCCCTCTTGGTAGTCATTAATCTGGGTTAGATTATATGCACTGTTAAACATGCTTTATTATTTTTTTTCTGTTTTGATTTATGCATATAACAATTTGGAATGATCTCACTCTGATATCATGGCTAGCAAAGCCATCAGGTTTTGGGAAGAAGGCTCAGAATCTCATTCACAGGTTTTCAACTCATATCTGTCTCTATTAATGCAAAATTGCTTTTGTTGTTTAGCCACTGAAGAGATAAAACAGTTTTGACATGTTTAGTAAATCTGTTTATATTTTTATTTCTAACTTCCTCTCCTGAATCTAATTTTCCCTGAGGAAATCTGGTACCAAATATGCTTAAACTTTCTTTTCACTCTTCAGACTGCTCCACAAATTAATGTGTTTTTTTTTTTTTTCTCTGTTCTACAGGATTTCCCACCCAGTGTATAATCCATTAAGAAAGTTTTGCAAGAAGCAGGGAAAATAACAGCAATTTGTCATACTTAAATCCAGCAGTTTCTACAGAGAAAGGGTTAATAATACATCCTGTCTTAACATTTACTTTTTCACACTTGCAGGTCCTTGACTGCAGAACATTATTGCTTTATCCAGCAAATAAACACCCTCAGTGTTTATATAATATTTTATATTTTCCAGCATGGAATGATACTAAAAGGAAACACTCGGCAAGGGCATGAAGGGGTTAATGGCCTTTCTGGAGGAAAGCACTGTTTTGGCCTTTTCCCACAGTGTTTGCCAGGAGTGACAAATCTGAGGGAAGGGGCCTTCCGCTGGTCCTCAGGGTGAAGGAGGGGAAGGAGCAGAGACCAGGATACAAGGGGGCCTCAGAGAAGAATCTGAGATTTCTCTGATTTAAGTGGTTGCACATAAGAAAACCTGATAATATGCCCACATAGCCTTATCACTGATCTACATTGATACATGTCTGTGTTCTATCTATCAAACCTGATGGATTAAGTGATACGTGGGAAGTCTCCATGTTTCTCTCCTCTTTATCTGGTTCAACATCTACTTCTAAAAATGTGTATTTATGCAGTCTACATATTTTTACTTTTATTTACTTTTATTTTATTTTATTCTTATTCTTATTTTTGTTCTTATTTTTATTCTTCTTTTTATTCTTATTTTTTATTTGAGATGGAAAACATCTCAGCAATTTATTTGCCCCAGTGAATGCTGACCTCTACATCTTCCCTAACACACAGATTAGATGTGCAAGTAACTTGCAGTGTCTGAGGGGACATCTGAATTTTCTGTCTGCCCTGGAGGGTTGTTGTTGCACCATCAGAAAACTGTGTAGTAAGTGGCTGATGCAGTAGCTGATGTTTCTTTTCTGTCCAGTGTCACTGACAAAGCATTTGCACATACAAGCTTCAATCTACATGTAGGGGCAAATTGTAATGTCTGTGCAGATAGAACCTTAATGAGATTTTCCAGAGTACCTTCTCATGACAACTATTGTACTTTATGAGATAGGCTTACCAAGTTCCACGCCTTGTAAGGTAGGACCTTGAGGAGGTATGTGTGCAGCTCTCACCCTGGAGTGAGGAAGTTACACGATGAATTACTTACCTACTATTCAATTACACTGGCATTATTGTGAAACTCACACATTACAGAAGATCCATTCACAGCATCTTTGACTTTCATCAGATACTCTCTGACCTTCATATATGTTTGAGCAATAAAACAGTCCTTAAGGGTAGTGGGGGGAATCCTATGAAACTAATACCCAGACTTTAAAATCAGCTTGCTATAGAGTGTTTTTGCAAATACTAAAGGAAATGAAAAAGAGTCTTTCTATACTAGGAGATTATATTTCTGCTTTTCATGGTTAAATCTGAAATGACTGGCTCCAAGAAAACATCTGAACTTCATCTGGTTTTGTAATGAAAAAAAAAAAAAAAAAGAGAGAGGGAGAGAGAAGTGAATTCATTTAGGCAATAAGGAGCAAGTATATAGTGCTCTTGCTAGAGGTTATAAAGGTTACAGGTTCAGATTAATGTCTGAATTTGAAAGGATCAGTTTTCACACTGCAAATAATCTCTTTTGAAAAATTAGCAGTATTTTTCTCTTTATTCTTTCAAATCAATTTAGTTCTAGTGAAAGCAGATCAACCAACAGCCCTAGAAACCAGCATTCTGTGCTTGTAAGCAGTCTGGGCAGAGGGGTATAACAAGAACAGCAGCAACACAAATTTGCACAAATTGTTTGTACATCTCAGAACGGACTTCAAGCATCTGGCTCCATGGGACACAGCCAAACTTCCGAGGCAGACGCTGGCTTTTCAGACCTGGAAGCAACAGTGCCAGTCAAAGAACTCCCATTTTGAAGGACTTCTGCAAGAAGTCACACTGAAATATTGCTGAGAGATTGGTCCTTCCAGGGTGCAGAAAAGGACAAGAAGCAAAAATAGATGAAAAATTTTCCACAAGACCTCTAAATTCCACTTTGTGCAAACTAATGATGACTTTCAACTCTGTCCACCCACCGGTAATTCCTGTTTTGCAGAACAGTGGAGGGAAGGCTAAGAGAGGCAAGGTTCATTTCCCATTTGCATCACACATGAAAAAAATATTCCTGCAGTTTTTATTATCATCTATTATCATCTGTCAGCATTAAAACACACGGTGTACAACTCAAAGACAGATTCATATCTTCTGAATAAATTTAATTTTCTAAGCTGCACTACAACAACACACAAATAGAAGTAGGAGTGGGTGGTCAACAACTCCCACTCTAAGGTATTATTAACCTTACTGAAGAAACAGTGCTGGCCAAAACAGTGCAAGAAGGAGGTTCTTTACATGTCCAAATTTCTATTGCTGTCCCAAAAGTGAAGCAATTTGCACCACGGGCACTGCCAGTAGACAGAGCAGGCTTTTATGACCATGCAGGGCCTTTCAAGAAACACCAGACTGACAGGATTGTGGGAAAGGGCATGTGAGGTAGGCAAATAATCTAAAAGTGCCCCTCTCTTGCTGTAGTCATGACATCTCATCCTATCAAACATCCACTGATCACAGTCAGAATGGGTTGTTGCAATAGAGTCCAAACCCTTTAAATTTTTCATTAAAACACTGCTCAGAAAATAGGCAAAGCCATCGTACCCACCAGGTTTGGAAGGTGAGTGAAAAAGCTAGGGCAGAGCCAAGCTCTGTATTCTCACTTATCTGCTCTAAACATCCAGGTGTCCTCTCTCCAGGAATGACGTTTTGATGTGACCAGCTCCTGTAATGCCCTATGCCCTAAGTCCCAAGACGATTCACGATTTAGAGCAGGTTTTATAGCTGATCTAAACTGCCTGCCTGCCTCAAGTTTATGAATATGTGATTACAGTAACAATGAAACTACGCATATATATTTGAAAATTGGATGTATACTCATATATATGTACACACATATATCCAAACACATATTATAAATATGTGGTTGCATTGCAACCAAATTCTCTGTAATTCTCAGCTCCACTCTCACTTGCTATACTTTTGAAAAAGCAATCAAATTACTGCATTGTGAATCAGACTGTCGTCACTAGGTTTTAAAATTAGAATAGTACCTCCCACTCTCATGTTTTTTTATGCGTGCTCATATACTTTTATACTCCACAATATTCTATTGTGCCACCCTTCCCCCAATCCTTCACTGATGTTCACAGTTGTATAAAAGAGAATTTGTTTCATTACAATAGGCCACCTAATAAAATGGAAAGAAAAATCATTCCAAGGCAAATTAGATGTTTTGTTGCCTATAGAGCTAAATATACCATTTTGTTCTCATATTATTTCACATTCAAAAACAATAAATGGGAGAAAATCTTCAAAACAGGATTATTAATTCAAAATGGAAATGTTTTCTTTGAAAATTTTCAAAATCAATCTTTTCAAGCACTTTTCTCTTCCAAATTAATCACTACGTTCTAGCCAAATAAATACACTTTGAGAAGTCTTGAGTTCTATTGCCTCTTTGTCCACTCATATAATAATTATCTTACATTTTTTTCTGTGTTGCCCTCAATAGATAAAAGCACATTCTTCAAAAAAAAAGATCTGTACTCTGGCCCCATCGATATCCACTTTTATACTGATGCTTTTAAGAAAATGCTATTCAAGAATAACAAGATTCTCTGGTAAGTAAAGTGGAAACTGGTGAAATTCTGTCCTAATTAAGTCAGTGTCAATGCTTTCATTAACTTCAACAGAGTTAGAATTTCACCCATGACATTTCTCTCATTTCTCATGCATCAATATATGCTTTTATCATTGGCTCCCTTTTCATCTGTTTTTTATTTAAGTCATTTACTACCCTTATTTTTCAGCTTTTTGCTTAGAGATGGGTTGTGTGCCAGCAGTGTCTTGAGTCCTATCTGAACCTTGAAGACATTGGGACAGACGCATTTGCAGGATGAGTCCTTAGCTTAAAATGGGAAACTCACTTAGTCTGTTCCTGTACAGCACCCAGCATGAAAGGTGCCAGCCCTGGTCAGGACTTGGTTACCACACAAGAGATCATTTGTAATAATCACTCTGAACAGACGAAACTAAAATAGCACGACATGTTACATTTCATTTCAACTAAATGCCCTACAAATTAGACTCCTTGCAGTCTAGTGCCAGACTTGTTACTATGAATGACCTGAGTGTTTCACAATGATGCGTCATCACTAGAATTTTCCTATGTTAAAACAGTTCTTTGATAAAATTAACAATTTTAATTGTCAGATCAGGCAAACAAAAGGAAATAACACTTCTAAATCACCTAATGCTTATACCTCATGCATTTGCTTTACTTGCTATTCCTTTACTTGCTTCTCTTTGCAATGCTTGTAACTGTCAGCCCTCATTCTTCACTAGAAGCCTAGTTAATAGATTTGTTTTCTTCTGTAATATTGAGCTTCAGTGTAAAATAGCTTCCAATTCACTTGTGATCTCCACCTGACACCTCAGCTCTGGCAGCTAGCTAGGCTCAGATGGCAGGCTGTGTACCACAATGTATTCCAGTGGGGGCAGATAGGAGAGCAAGGGATCATCAAGTCTGATTTCAGAAATTATCCTCTATTCCTTTTAAAGCAAACTAAATCAATAGGTTCAGCTATCATTTTGGGCCTGCCCATGTGAGACTTAAATTGTTCTCCAATGAACAGGGTGATTTTACCACTTAGCAAGAAGACAGATTCATTTCTCGTGAACTTTGCTGTGGTTCAGTAGAAAGAAGCTTAATTAGTAGCACTATCAGGTCACTTTACTTTGATCAAGAGCAAATCTTACAGGATTACTTCACTAGTTTCAGTGGGAAGACTTGCTTCAATGAGGTGAAAAGGATTTGGCCCTGGAATTGTAAAATAGACTTAGATTGACAGCCCTTTCTGTATTTGCTTTCTGCCTTAATGAAAGCTAAATGATACTTTAATGAGATCACAACAGGGCAGGTCCAGGGGGACTGGAATGTAGACAGTCAGCACGGTTTATCCATAAGGTTACTTGCCTTCAGATATCTAAATATCCTACATGCATTATGCAAACAACAATGATTCTTGGTTCCACATCCATTTCTATAAGAGATACTCCTAGTTTTCAAAATCCAGGAGGGAAAACACATATCTATGGTCACCAAATAACCATCCTTGTGACCACTTCTTTGTAAAAGAACTCAGACTTGATCTGAGATGCTTAGTTTCCATGGCCAGAGCATGATGCTTTAGGCAAACTTAAACTATGAGATGGGAAGGTCAGGTATATGCAGTGAAACACTGAGCAAGCAGAGGCCTGCCTCAGGACAGGACAGAATGCGACTACTCAGAGTAGCACATGGAAACTGAAATGCAGCTGGATTCTGCACTCATCATGTAGTGACATGGGGTAATTTGCTGATGATCTCCTTTGGACAATCTCCTAACAGATAACATATCTGAAAATCAGATAACATCATAAAAAAGGCATTTGGAAGCCATCTGCCTCAGCGCAGTGATGATCCATGTAAAAAGCTGTGCACATAGTAAATTAACTGCTTCTTACTGAACTTGGCTTTACTATGTGCAGTTCCTTAGGTCCTGTCACAGAAAAGAGGATTTGCTATCACAGCTTCACATCTCTTCTGACAAGATAGTAGTACCCTGAAATGTGTCAGGAAAGCAAGCCCCACCTAGATTGCACTTCCGCCCTGGCATGTGCTTCCAGCATTCATTTTCTCACTCATACAAGTGAATTAACAAGATAGGACCTGTGACTCAGCAGAAAAAAGGTCCTAAAGACCAATAATGAACTACATTTGAAGCCAAGGAAAGGCACAGCATGCTGGATTTGTGGTTAACCAATGCATATTTCCACCACAGTCCATTTTTTCCTCTACCAAGTCATGCCAGTGCAAGTTTTGTATGAAATGGCAAGCACTTTACACAGTCACGCACATTTGGGATATGGAAACTCTTTCTGTCTTTTCTGTCTGAGATCCAAACCTAAGCTGTAATTTCCCTTGCCTTTGTACTTGGATGTATTCTTTAGGTCCTCTGTTCCACATCAAGCACAAGCTCAGAAAACATCTCTTTCCAGCCCCCTAGTAATATCAAGTTCACCACTACTGGTTTCTTTCCATACCTAACAAAGAAAGCTATTTCTCTTCCTACTCATTTTTCTATCAATCAGCTACCTCTTCCTTTCCATTATGCTACTCACTTCAAATCTCTATTTTGTCTCCATACATTTCTTATTGGTAGGTACTTTCTGACACAGTTTTGTGTGCAATGATTTTCCTGTAGCTACGATAATTATTTTTCTTTTCCTACTGAATCTTTTTCAGCCCTTCCACTCAAAACATAAAACAATTTCTCATTTTAACCAATTTTTTCATTAGCCAAAAATAAATTTTGAAGTGAAAGTGCCTATTAAAAGGAGTTACATGCCAGCAGGATAATATGTCTCATCATTCAAAACTCTAGAGAGAGAGGAAAAAATATTTTAAGACAAGAGAAAAAGTGAAGGAAAAATACTTGCATGGTATTCATCCCTCCCTCACAGTCTTTTTGTGTGTGTGTGTGTGTGTGTGGTGGAAAAAGATTTTTGGTATGAGAGTATCATTGGCTAAAGGAAGTAAATTTTCTAATACCATCTTGAATGTTAGAAATGATTAAGAAATTAACCATTGTGTTGGGTGAAGCCTCAGGCCTAGTAATACTCCATGTATTTTTAATAAAGGAAAAGACATCTGGGATTGTGAAGACAGCCATCCCTACATTTCTGTTTAAATTTGCTGTGGCAGGCAATGGAGTGATAGTCCCCATGTTTGTACCTGCAAGTACAGTTTATTTCTTCACAGTCATAACTGGCTCATGACTGCACAGACCTTTCTATTTGCTTGTGTATTTTGCTCTTCTGTCCTGAAGCACCTGAACTCTTTATGACAGAGTTTGTGCTTCTTCCATGTGTTTGAACAATGTTTAACAGCACCAATGAAAGACACAGCTTGTTACATTTCAGCAGATGATAGGTTAACCTGACTTTTTTTGCACTATGTATTTCACTGTCAAGAACCCAGCAAACTGTTCTGTTTTTCCAGATTGCTTTTGTCTAACTCCCGTACTACTGGAGGCAAGCACAGACAAATGGTGCACCTTGCCTCACATTTCACATCATCTCTCTCCTATCCTTATCACATTGAAATAATTTTCCCTGCTCAGTAGCCTTTCAAATTTGTACTTTTCTTACAAATAGATGGGGGATGTTCACAGAACTACCTCTCAATCTTTATAGAAATTGCCCTGCTAGGGCTCAGGAAATACCACGCATTGGCAACAAGTAGAGCCCTCTCTGAACCACAGATCTCACCAACCCAAAGGCTTAAACTGACACTCATTGAGAAGATGGTTGGAGGAAACTTAGCTGCAAGCATCAGTTTGCCCCACAGTTCATTGTCCCACCACTGAAAACTTAGAGCTGCATTGCCCTATATTCTGTGGGGAAAATAGAAAGGAACAAAAAATGCAGAATGTACACATTCACTCTTCACTCTTCTCCATATGTCTCCTCTTATTTATTTTCATTGTGAAAGCAAATAATAAGGAACTGTAAACTAAAGTGTTGATGAAAACATGGAGATTTCTATCACTCCTCTGAAAAGACCATATTGTTCCAACTCTATTTTCAGCTGTAAAGAGACACTCCAGTCTGTAGTACACCCTAGAGTTAGCAGGACGCAGAAACTGATTAAAAAATAAATAAATAATAATAATAAGGTTTCCATGGAAAATTCAAGCATAGCCCCTCTGAAATAGGAGAAAATTCCAGTTGCAATGCATTTGTTATTAGCAGGCAGAGCTAGACAAGAACTAGACAACGTACCTCTAATTGGCTTCAACTCTCCACTGAAACACTCTAATCCAGGAGAAACCATATCCTTCCAAGTCTACAGTACTATTTTCACTTAAGCAAGCTCTTTAAGAAGCTGAGTTTACTTCTGAGATTTCTGCATGCTGAATGGCTGGAACAGTTTTTATGATGAGATCTGGATACAGCTGCAGTGTGGTTGGGGATGGACAGTGGTTAGTCAGCCTGTGCCCACTAAGTGTCACCTTATATGAAATGAAAACATCTGGGTTTTGCTTATGCATTCACGGTTCACAGAGATACTGCAAAATGACTAGCCTGCTTATATTTCAGACATTTTGGTGTGACCATTATTAATAAAATAAGCGACCGCATGTCCTTTACAACCCACAGCTGCACAAAATATCGATGTGCAGATAACAAAGTTTAAGTCTGGATCAAAAATACCAAACCCTTTTTGCCATCTTCTTTCTGTCTGTGTATTTTACTTAGATTACATTTGCTCTGACATATTCCAGCTAATCTTTGTGCTCATGCCTGAATGGAATATAAAGTTACAAATACCATTATAGGATTTTTACAAGTTTCATGAGATAAACACTGCTTATTTTGTTTTAGCAACTATTTCAAAGAATTCTAGCAACAATTTCAAAGAATTCTGCATCTACCTAATTTACTACCAATGATACTACTCTAAAATCAATTTAAAAAAAAAATAATCTAAAATTATGTACAAATTGCACCCACAATTGAAAAAGTATGTATTTCACTGACAGATATCCATAATCATATATCCATATATATCCATATGTCCATAACCAATAAATAAATAAATAAATCTCTTGTTAAAATGTAACTATCATGATGCAGGCTAGGAAATCCAGCTCACAAATGTATCAGCTAAAATTTGAAATGTTTCCATGAATAAATCTATATAGTCTGTCTCCACAATCTAGCTTATCACACGCATTCATGAGCTGTCAATGAATTCAGGGAGGCACTTACTGAAAACACAAACTTAAAAAGTTTTCTTTACACATGCCGCCTTTTTGTCCATCCAGTCTAGACAGAATCAGAGATCTGGGAAAAGAGTGTTGATGGAGGCTTCAAGATGCAGGTTTCTGCTTTGTTCCCTTGTAAAGCTACATCCTGTCAAAGTGTTTAGCTTAGTATAAAAACTTTTACTAAGGTCAAAAGTTTCCACATAGCAGAAGTTGAGTTTGACCAATAAAGGCTTTTTGTTTCTTTCTGGTTTCTTAATCCTATTAATAAGTTGCAGATCCAAGTACCTTGAAAAATACATAAAGTGCTTGCTGGCATGCTGAAACAAATGATGGTAGGGGATCATCACTGCATCTGGATCACAAGTGTAGTTTTTCCAGCAAAGGTATGATTCTGCTAAAAGTGAAGCAGGAAGACAGTTGATTTAGTCTTGCAAACAAAGGGATTTTTCCTTCAAGGGCCAAGTTCAAGCATGGCAGCAGTCTTCTGAGGGCAGTGAAACAGCCACTGCTCATTTCCACCACTGCACAAGCCCTGCACTACACCACAAGTGGTAAGGCAGCATGGAGCAAGAGGCAAGGGCTGAGAAGCCCTGCAGTCCCCTTGCTTCCCCCACATCTCATCTTGCCTATATTTTGGAGAAATCTGGAGCCACATCTGCATCGGGTGGTAAGCATGCCCAACAGCTATGACAATGGTTGGTTCTTCAGAGCTGTTTTGACAGGGCTGAGGAAGCCTTGATGCCCCAAATATTGTAAATATGCAGCCATTCCCCACATGACATTCATGTCAAGTCAGCTCAGCTTTCCAATGGAAATAAATAACCTGTATCAATTCTCAGCCACAACCAACCAGCCTCTGTCCTGGGAAATGTCAGATGCCTTTGAGGTTTCATATCCTATCAGGCACTCAGGTTGGAAACAGTTATTAGCAGTAGGGTGACAACAGTAAATATAGCTTTGTTAATTAAAGGGATTTGGAGAAAGACTGCACAGAAACTCACTCTAATAGAGCTGGGGTGTTTCTTCAAGGTTGAAATAGGTTATTTTGAGTACAGATCCATTAATATAGACATAGTGGCATAAGACCTAGGAATTGTTTTTGTGATGTCTTTTGTTAGTGAGACATATGCTCTGATGCCCCAAAAGCCAGATGTAGTCCTGGCTCCTACTGCCATGGTTTCTGGGGTACTTATGCAGGGGTCTCTGCTGTGGTCCTCACCATATACAGGTCCAATGTGGCCTTAACCACAAGGTTGTATAACCTCTGCTATCAGGCATGAAAAGAGGAGAGGTGCTTGAACTATCTGAAAACTCTGTCCCTTAGCACTGTCCCAAAACAAAGCAACCCAAATTATTAGTCATTTAGGGAAATGACATCTCATGGAGCTTATATGACAGATTCTTGAGCAAATCTAATTGCAAATGCTCAAGGAGTGAATGAGAATATATGCAAATGTGTAAAAGTTGTCATAAATAAATAAGCATTAAGAAAGTTCTATACATGAGGCATCATCTTCACTTTAAATTCTGTAATAGTAAAGAATTTAGAAACTCAGTGTTGCAGCTCAGTGAGATCCACAGTGAATCATGTCTGACATTTTACTTCTCTTTTCACGTAGCTTCTCCACACAGATCTCCATTTTCTATAGTGTTTTCTTATTTGAATATGAATTATACCTGATGTTATAGAGGAGAAAATCTCTGCTTCATTGTCTTGCTATGATTGTCTGTTCCCTAGTTCTATGAAAAAAGCCTTTATTCTTGGCTTTGGGGAAACACTATACTTAGTATGTAAACTCATTTTCTTTGTCACATTATCCCTGTAATCACAGAATCATAAAACTTGCTTTCTAAGATCATTCATGCTCATTAAATTCAGTCACAAAATGCTTGAAAGGGGTGAGTACTAAAAACGTCCCTAAAAGCTCTCATTTACTTTCAAATAAAGACTGACAGAAATGCTTTGTGCTACAATTTCCATCCTATGTATGAATATAAATTAATAAAATTTATCATGTTTTAATTGAATTTACTTACTACTACTCTACTCTGCCTTATTTTGTTTCTCTGAACCTATAAAATAAGAATTTGGGTGAGCATATATCCCCTGTGAGCACAAAAAAGAAAACATTACCATGTGTGGTAATGAACATAAAAAAAAATCAAGTCTTCTTACTGTCTTTTTGGCCTATTAAATCTTCATATAGATACCATCCTCTCCAAGACATTATGCTGCATGTTACATTGTCACTCATTAGATTGAAAACCTTTAGGCTCCAGAGCCCTCTTCCCCCCCTTTTTTTTGGGGGGTGAGGGGGGAGTAGGTGTTGGGGTGAAATTACTATATTTGATTGTACAACGCATTGCTAATTCTTAAATGTAAGCGTCAGGAATTTGCTGCCATTCTGCACTTGTTCATTCATTACTGGGGAAAAAAATGAAATACGCCTCTCCAGCAAAGCACTGCAATGAAAAAAAAAAAATACTTGGCTTATAAAACATTATCACTTATTGATTCCTCTCTGAATTGTCTTGATCTTATTTACTGCTCTGTATTCAGGCCTAACCTCCTACATACATTAAAAATGCTTATAAAAAGGGAAGGCTATAGATTTGTCTTGTCACTTGATTGCATTAACTGCACATTAATAGATGAAAAGCAAATTTTCCCCCATCCTGCATACATGTGAAGCAACAAATAATTGTGAGCTGCCTCTGGGCTTGGTGACCTAGAAACCAGGAATAAGGCTGATAAAAAACAGATGCTGAAGAACAGCATCAGGGACAGCCTCAGAAAGAGGATGATAAATCATTTGACAAGGCTATAAGATGTAAGTGCTTCTGGAAGAAAAAAAAAAAGTTAACTCTTTTAAAATATTTTCCAGCTTTCTTTTTTTCCTGTCATTTATGCCTCTTTGAAGTTTTGTAGAGACCCCATCCTGAGCACAACAGCACACTGAATGTCACATTTTCATTATGGAATTAAGTATTTTACACCCATTCTCCTATCTCTTCTTTCATTCACAGTACTAGAAATAGCAGTTGTTATGCCCCAAATCCATGAGAAAATCAAGACTGTGGAAGTAGACGGAAGACCTAGCTGCTTTGATTCAAAACACCATAAATGGTTCACAAGGCAGTGTTTAATCAGTGAGAGTTTCAACTATGAAAATAGACATACTCCTATCAAAGTCAGACCCTGAAAACAGAAAAACACTTGGATATGAGCAATTGGAGTTTAGCTCTCTTCCAAACCAATTTCATCCTCTGAGCTGGATCAATTAGAAATATGGTATTCATACCACATGATCTATAGCAGCCCAATAATCATGAACTTAATAAAAATAAAACAGAAAAAGAAATAGCGTTTCTCATCATAATTCAGAAAGACAGCCCTCTGCAAATACACGTGAAAATTGGGGAGACTGGTTTGGAGTTATGGGATGGTTAAATCCCTGACAAAGGTTAATTTCAAGGTTGATCTGGCATTTTTGCCAGTGCAAGGTGTTTTGTGATTCCAAAATTTTACACAATTTAAGATGATGGGCCAAGAAAGAATGAGGTAAAGGTATTAAGTCAATACATTGTGTGGGTACTTAATACTAATAGATTGCCTCTTTATAGGGAATTGTTTAGCCTTTTTATGCATAGATTATTGCTAGCACTGTCAAATTCTGAAAAAAATAACAGCTAAACGACAGTACAAAGAATTGGTGTGGTATTGAGAACAGCATTACTTCCCAAAGAGAAAAGCCAACTGGGCACAATTCATACTGTTTTAGATGTTCCACACATGGTGGTAGCAATGACTCTTGTTACAAGAAACACCAAGCATAATTTGAGACCCTTTTGCACTGAGTTCTGCACAAGCACAGAGTAAAACTAGCTCATAAAAATAACTCCTTCACATACAGGAGGTTAAACACAGCAAAGCCAGTTTCTTATCAGATATTAACCATGCACGTGTCTTCACATCTGTGCATAAAGAAAAAAAAAAAAAAAAAGAAAAAACAATACAAACATTCCCTGATTTCAGATTTAACAGCTTAACAAGCCAATTAGGTAGGAGCAAACCTCAGGCTTCTGGCACTTTCTCAGTGTGATTCACATTTCTCACCAGCATGTGCTGCCCTTAGCCTGAAAGAACTGAGCACTTTAGACTATTTTTTAAATGCCTTCTTTCATGCCTTTTTCCTGTATGCTTTGTTTCCACACTGCACAGAACAACCTTTGCACCGCAGGAGGTAAGCAGATAAAGGCTCCAGCAAGGTACTGGATAAAGGCTCCAGCTGTCCCAGGAGATTTGTTTTTCCTCCTCTCACACCACCATCATCTGGGAAGGTCTCAACAACAGAAACACAACCAGCCCTTGCCACCATCCCCTGCCATCCTTGTGATTCACACTTTCATTGGATTAATGGATAGATTTCCACTTCCTGGAGTTTTTTTAATGTAGACATTGCTTTCTGGAAACAGGACAGGGTGGGATGGCACAATACAAGCTGAACATATGTTTTGCCTTGCCTTGGCCACCTCAAAATTAAAATAAAGGAATAAACACAACAAAGAGGAAATGCATGACACGTGTGAGTATCTTCTCTTGTTCACAGTAACTGTTTTTATTTATTTTTTCTGCAGCACAGCTTTCAGTGTGACTGAAAAGGATAACAATAAAGA